CTTTTCATTAAACTAGACCTATCCAGTTCCTGCAACCGTTCTTCATATTTTAGTCTCCAGTCCCCTAATCATCTTTGTTGCTTTTCTCTGCACTCTTTCTAGAGTCTACATAAATAACTACCTATTCATGACAACACACATTCAGATCAGTCACAAAATAGGCTCACCCATACTGCCAGTGCTCCCAGTTAGATGGCAAAGCCAGGTTTCCAAAAAGCCAATAGGATTGGGGCAAACCTAATATCAGGAAAAAGGCTCTTCCTAGGTGCTTCCATGGAATTTTCTAGTAGATGGGATCTGGAACATGCCTCTCCCATCAGATCAAACAGAACATTACTTCACGACTGATACATGTAGAGATTTTCCTGTGTTAATATGTATGTTAAGCAGACTGATAAATAATTAAAGATATTCTGGGAAAAACAATCCTGGAGATTTTATTTAAACAATGATTTATTGTCATTTATTCTAAATTGGTCTACATAATTTAATCAAATAGATAAAAATAAAAAGCCGTTATAAACAATTAGAAATTACAATTCTTTTTAATATCATGGCAGAAGCATGGCTCTTTCTTTTAGTCAAAACTCAGCTGTGGTTACACAATTATGATTGCAAGGTATAGCTGGCAAACTCTAGAACAAAACTTTCATTTTGATAAACTTACATTTTGGGATAATACCATCTAGAAACTTTTGTTTTTTCTATTTAATTTCTGCCTGGCACAATTGCAAGACTTCTTGAGAATTACAGTAACAAAGACAAAAAAACCAGTATAATTAAAAACATCCTAAAATCATATTTCTGATCATGACCTAGGCATTACTGACCACACTGTAAATCTTTTTAAAGTTCATGGACTAAGACAGATATTGCATTTTGGATCAGTTTACTCCCAATCAAGTTTTGTGGTCCCATTAAAATACCTTTTGACATCATTTGGATGCTTTGGCGTGTGTTGAAGGATTCCAAATTGCAGTATTTTTCTACAGAGTGGATATCGTTTGAGTAGAGTTGTAATACCCCATAGAACAAAACAATGGTTTTGTTGTTCTTAAATCTTTAATATTTCTTAATTCTTAAATCTTCTCATGTCTTAATAGCAAATAACCTTTTTCTGAAAAGGTGCTTTTTTTTTCAAGAGGCAACTGGACTTTCTGGTTTTTCTTTGAAGACGTTTTGCTTCTCATCCACACACACACACACACCCCAAAAAAACCGAGCGATTTTCTGTCTCTCTCGGAATGGTCTTGCCTTCTCCCTTAATATTTGGGCCGGCCGGGCCAAGGCGACCCAGGGCAGCGGGACAATGGGGTTCCTGGTATCCTTCTTGGGCCCGGCCCAGAGCCGCTGGCTCCCTTGGCCGTATTTGAGGGGAGAACATCAGACGGAGGAGCCTCCTCAGCGCCAAGAAAGAAGTGGGCGCGGAAGCCCCCAGCCCCCTTCTCTCCACGCTGGGGCGGAGCGGGGAAATGTCCCCCCGCCAGCGACCCGCCCCGGAGACGACGGCCGCCCCGGGGCGCGCTGAGGCGAAGCGGCCATGGCTTTCCTCCGGCTGGCCCAGCTCGCCGCTTGGTGCTGCTGCTTGGCCCCGCCGCACGCGAGAAGCGGCGCCACGGGAGTCCCCCCGGGGCCCGGGGAGGCCTCGGAGGAGTTGGGAGACGCCGCTAACGCGGCCCGTTTCTTTCAGCCGGCGCAGCTGCATGCCGGACTGAGGGTGGCTGCCGCGCCGTCCTTCCGCGGGCCCGGGAACGGCGATCGGCGCGCCAACCGGGAGCTGCCCATCCTGTTATGGTGGAGCGGCGGCCTCTTCCCGCACTTCCCTGGCGAGACGGCGCGCATCGACTGCCCGCGTGGCTCCTGCCTGGCCACCAAGCAGCGCCGCGTGCGAGCCCACCGGCGGACGCGGTCGCTGCTCTTCTATGGCACGGATTTCCGGGCCTACGAGGCCCCACTACCGCGGCTGCCGCATCAGACCTGGGCCCTTTTCCACGAGGAGTCGCCCATGAACAACTACTTGCTCTCGCACGGCGCCGGCATCCGCCTCTTCAACCACACCGCCACCTTCCGCCGCCAATCCGACTTCCCGCTCAGCCTCCAGTGGCTGCCCGACCTGACTTACCTGCGCCACCCGCCGCTGCGCGGCCTGCCGGAGAAAGACCGCCTGCGCAGGGACGGGCTGGCCCCGCTGCTCTACCTGCAATCTCACTGCGACGTCCCCGCCGACCGCGACCGGTACGTGCGGGAGCTCATGAAGTACATCCAGGTAAGCGGGCTCCGGTCTTGGCGGGGCGGCGCTGGGCTCGGACAGGCCTCGGGACACTTGGGGAAGGGGAAGCGGGAGAGCTGGAGAGCCGGCGCTGAAATAGCGCAAAGGGGGCGATGGTGGGGAAGAGGGTTGGTGGGTCGATTCACAAGAGACGAAAGCGAGCCCGGCGCGGAGCCGCCGGATTTTGCATCGGGAGTTGTTATTTTGATGTCGGGGCCACCATTGCCCCTAATGAGAAGCTGCGCTCAAGGCGGGATTCGCACGCATCCTAGTGAACACGTGGTTCAAGGTCTTCCATATAACGGTTTGTCGTTGAATATCAAAGCTAGAACAAACTTATTTTATTTATTAGATTCACACCAATCTTTCCTTCGTTATACCTATTTCTTCTCGCAAGATCACCGTGAGAAGAGCGAAGTCTTCCATGAATTGGAAGTTGGCTCTCCTTCCCGGAACTGGGCTGGAAGTCCCTAGTGCGGCACTTCAGCCACTGCTTTTTAAATGCCTTTTGCTAAATAACTTGCTTAGGTTTTTTCCCTGACATTAAAAAACAGATTTACTCTAAATAGAGGAAGTGTTTTTCTTTACCAGACTAGTCGCTTATAATTACTAGAGTTTGATATCGGTGACTGGTGTCTACATTAAGGTGACCAGATTTTCAGATTGGTAAAGAGGGACACCATTTGGGGGGGGGGGGGGGCTTGATTACAAATTTTATATTTTGTCAAACATGACCCCAGGACACTGAAACCATCATAAATA